AAATTTTATATATTAAAATTTTGAAAATTTCAAAATTTTAATGTATAAAATTTTTATATTATTATATGAATATTAAATGTATAAAAATTAAATAGAGATAATAAGATTGAGAGATTGATAAATTGAGAGAATGAGAGAATGAGAGGATTGAGAGATGGATTGAGAAATTGAGTGATTTTTTATGAAAAAAATGAGAGAATTTATAGAAAAAACTTGGTCCCCCCCTCCCCCATCCCCCCTCCCCTCTTCCCCTCCCCCACCTCAAACGGCTATATTTAGCCGTTGAGGTGTGCCCCACACCTTTTTTTTAACTTTTTGCAGAAGGATTTTCAAATCAACAAAAAAAAAATTAAACCGGTACCGGAACCGGACCGGTACCGCCGGTACCGGTACCAAAAAATAGGTACCGGAACCGGTACCGAAATTGGCGGTACCGGTACCGGTTCCCGGAACCGGTGACACGGCTACCTTGCTGGTGACGGTGGCGGGTACCGGCGGTACCGTTGCCGGTGACGGTACCGTACCGGTACCGTGTCCACCCCTACCTGTCGGGAAGACTTTCGACGCAAGGCTCGAACTGCAGATCTTTCCTTCGCTGGGCTACACCATTTGATCCGCCAAATCATCTTGTACCGCCGTGGCTATAACTTCACGGGACGCGCCGCCTGACCTCCTCTTGTCGGGAAGACTTTCGACACAAGGCACCACCTGCAGATCCTCTTTCTTGGTCTTGGTCCTAGTTACACTGTCACACCGAGATTTTTCCACACTGCACAGTCCGTTACTCCCGCCCGCAAGAACCTAGGCTCTGATACCACATGTTGGGGCTGCGCGTGCCCTCACCCCAACCCCGCATTAGTATGATATTGTCCGCTCTGGGCCAAGCTCTCACGGATTTGTTTTTGGGCACCTCCCAAAAGGCCTCATACTAATGGGGTTGGGTGAATTTAAACTGTTTTATATCCTAAATAGCATGTAATAATATCTAATGATGGCAAACATTTACTTTAATAATAACTAATAAATAATGACTAAAAGTTCTATATTGGGAAAATATATACTACGTATATGATGCTATTCAGGAAAAGTCATTATGCTTTAGTGCTATTTACGTAAATTCTCCTTTAATTTTATTTATAATATTACACTGAAAATACTTTCGCCCTAATTTTTATGCATTTCATAAAATATTTTTATTTCCATCTAAAATGTCTAAAATATACTCCCTCCGTTTCATAAAACCCTTCTCCTTTCGTTTTTTTCCAATTCCCTAAACCCTTCTCCTTCTCCTTTTGTTTTTCAATAATAATCAAACTATCACATCTTACTTTTAACCATCACATCAGGGGCAAAATTGGAAAGTCAACCAAAATTACACTTTTCTTATTTTTGTCTAAAGTCAAAACAGGAAATGTTTAAAGGAACGAAGGGAGTATTTCATTATGTAGTTTATTAGGGATAGAAATTGTTTTGAAGACATTTTGGGTAGAATAAAATATTTTGTGGAATGCACAAAAAATTATGAAGGAAGTGTTTTCAAGAACACTAACGCTGATTTTGAATAAAAATGACCTTTTCAACTTCTAAAATATGAAGAGGGAATTGTTCGAGGACTAGGGTGGAACCTGCGTGCGGGAGGCCATTGGGGCTGAGCTTCGAGAAGAAAACTGGAGATTTGTACTTCTGCGACGGTTACCTTGGAATAATGAAGGTGGGAGCCGACGGAGGACTGGCGGAGAAAGTGGTGGACATGGTGGAAGGCCAGAAAATCATGTTCGCCAACCAAATGGACATAGACGAAGAAGACGACGCCATCTACTTCAACGATAGCAGCGACACGTACCACTTCGGGGACGTATTCTTTGTGTTTTTGTGTGGGGAGAAGACGGGAAGAGTGATCCGATACGACAAGAAGACGAAAGAGAGCAAAGTTGTAATGGACCGTCTTCATTTCCCGAACGGTCTTGCCCTAAGCAAGGACGGTTCGTTTGTGCTTTCGTGTGAGTCCCCGACCCAGCTCGTCCATCGATATTGGGTCAAGGGACCTAAGGCTGGGACCCGCGACATATTCGCGAAGCTCCCAGGCTACGCTGATAACATCAGGAGGACTGAGACCGGAGATTTCTGGGTTGCCTTGCACTCCAAGAAAACTCCGTTCTCCAGGTTTTCGTTGATGCATCCATGGATTGGTAAGTTCTTCATGAAGACTTTGAAAATGGAGTTGTTGGTTTTCCTCTTTGAAGGAGGGAAGCCTCACGCCGTTGCCGTGAAACTCTGCGGCGAGACCGGAGAGGTTTTGGAGATTCTAGAGGACCGTGAAGGGAAGAACATGAAGTTCATTAGTGAGGTTCAAGAGAGAGATGGTAAACTCTGGTTTGGATCTGTGTTTCTTCCTTCCATTTGGGTTTTCGATCGTCGTCAGTGATTTATTTATCAAATTGCATTGTTTTTAAGCATTTGAAATAAACAAGGGAAATTCTACATTCACCTGAAAAATAACGATAGATCAGAGCACGCAATTGCGATTAGTAACGACAATGCACACACAATGTCTGTCTTTAAAAAGTTTCCATGTCAACTTTAATTTGTTGTGAGTGTAATATGACTCATTAAATAATCCTTTCCTTTAGTAACTTCTACTTTACTATCATTTTCTCATGGGCATGCATGGAATTGATAGCAATTATGCCAAAAGTATTTGATGTGCAATCTGGTTAGATTTGCATACAAAATAAGTCTTTCCCAATACCCATTGTTAAAGTGTATCCCATATCGGAAGTTCATGAATAAAATAATCGGTATATAAGTTCTTGAGTTGAACTAACTAATCGATTGGATTCAATCTTTTAACGTGATTCAACTGAAGTGTCTTATTGCCTAATCCAGTTAATACTACCCCATCAAAAAATTTATCATGGTATCACAGAACAGGTTTTTGCTCATCTCGTTTGTCAAGGTGTCCGTCTAGACGTTAGAATACAACCACACCAAATACTAATTCCCCACTTGCAAGAGTAAGAGGATTAAAAACAGCAACAAGATAATAGCAAATAAGCACAAACGGTAAAGACACGATGCACCAGAATTTTTATGTGGAAAACCCCTCAAATCGAGAGTAAAAACCACAGGTCACAAAGACCACCAAGCAAGCTCCACTATGAGCAGAAGTAGGGTACAAGAGTGTCTCAAACAAGGGCTGAAATAAGTATAAACATACTGCAAATATTCTGCCACAACAAGGAGCAAACAACTAGAGAATACGCAGAAAAACCAAAAAATACTGCCTCTGTTCAGATGCAAATATCTCTGTCTGCAGACCTTCAAATCCAAAACTGACTGGTGGAAATCAAGTTCAATGTGTCCCGAACCTTCCCCTAAAATTTCAAAACAATCGGACACTGTTTGACCCTCCATACATCAGTGTGAAAAATGATGCGCACAGAAATCCAAAAAATGAACAACTTCCTTCTCTCTCTGGATTTTTCTTCTCTCTCTCTCTCTCTCCCTCTCGTTTTCTACTCGCCACCCTAACTCAACCTCTTGTTAACCTCTTATTTCATCAAAGAATAGACTTGTGAAGAATTGGGCTTTACTTGGGCCTCCACATAAGTAGTGAGCCTAAAACCCAACAATAATCGGTATATAAGCTCTTGAATTGAACTAACTAATCAATTAGAATCAATCTTTTAATGTGGTTCAACTCAAGTGTCTTATTGCCCAATCCAGTTATCACTACCTCATCCAAAATTTTATCACCATCTTATAATTTCTTGAAAGAAGTGATATTTAAACCAGACAAATTTAATTAAACTTAAATAAATAAATAAATAAATAATAAATCACAATGTCATGTAAAGAAAATGCGATATAAAAAGTAAGCATAGGGTGGAAGTGTGCTGGAATAGTTGATTAAACCCCATAATTTATTGATTGCATACAAACTCACACATATATGTTCTCTATATTAATTTTTTCTCAATTTAACTTGACACACTTATATTACAAGAAATGAAATCACACAATTGTCATTTATGTAGAAATAATGTGAAAGATATAAGCTACTCAAAAGGGCCGGCCCATGTGTGTGCCAAGGTGCTCTACTCACTCAGGCCCATTCTTTTCCGGGACCCTACCATTTTCAATTTTAAATATATACTATATACTCCCTCCGTTGCTGAAAACTTTTTTTCCTTTCTTTTTTTAGCCTTTCCGAGAAATACTTATTATTTCTATTTAAAAGTTATTTTTACTCTTTACTTTTTTATAACCTACCTATCACATCATATTTTTTTTCTAATAATCTACCCATCAAATTCTACTTTTACCCATCTCATAAAAGAACTTTTTTAAAATTTCAATACCAAAATACATTTCTCTTACATCTCCTAAAAATCAATAACTCCCATGTTTTTAGGACCGATGGAGTATTTTTAATAAAGACTTAAATTTTTAGGTAGTTGTTACGTGATTTAATTATAATGCTACAAATTTGTCATGTGTATTAGTGCAACATTAATTCTTGTTTTCAAGCAAATAGTTTATACACGGAATATAATTTAATTTATTAGAGCGAAAACCCATTTTTCATTTCTTTCAAAATCATCGTATCCTCGGGACTCAAGTCTTTCCAAAAAAGAAAATTTTCAAGATATCTATGGAATGTGAAAAATAGGATAGAGGCAGTATGATATTTTATTCTGTTTATTCTTTTTTTAAACACAAATTTGAAACGGGCTGGGCTTTTAAGACATGCGTGATTCATTTATTAAACGGGCTTTAATTGTTTATCCAAGCCCAGGACTTTATATTTTCTCCAAGCCCATTCAAAACTAAACGGGCAAGTGACCCCGTGCATGTTCATCGAGTTGGATCCCATTATCGGCAGCCCTTTATACTCCGTATGTTTTTGTGAATTGATTTATTTTTAATTTTCATTAGATTTTTTTTTGGAAATACATTATTCAAAGAAACTAAGGGCCTGTTTGGTGAGAATAAAAAATATGGGTTTCAACAATTCTATATCATTTCAGTTTTTTTTAATTTCTAAAAAGATTACTTCCTCTCTCCTTTAACAAACTTCAATTTGATTAAGTATATAGCAATTTATTTTCATAACCCACCAACTACATTTTAACTTAAGCTGCTTCAAGTTGTTAATGATAATCATAACTGATTTTGCTCATATGTCCACATTCATTAAATTATATCCACTCCCTCCATTCAATAAAAAAACATATCAGGTGAATGGAACAAGCCTCACATATACATTGAGGGAGTGAGGGAATAGAAATGGTTCATGAAATGATTAAGGGGCCGGGAGCGGGCACACATGTGAATATATATATATATATATATATATATATATATATAAAAGTGGGTACGTGATTTTGTCATCGGGGAATGGAGACAATGGAAATTGGCTTTGAGAAATATATATATATATATACATAAATAAATATAAAGGGATAGGATGATGATAAAATAACGCATCCATCTCGTGATATAATATATAGCTTTAAGTGGTTGGTTTATTGATTATGGGTGTACCATACATATCTATGCATGCATGACCCATACATACATACATATATACATATATGTGTGTGTATATATATATACATATACATATATACATACACACACACATATATATGGGATTGACTCCAGTGAGATGACACCTTACATTGCGATGACATGCTTCGGTCAGATGACGCAAAGCTCACCACACTACACTACAAAGCTCACCAATGGACAATGCAAAGCTCATTTGGAAATAAAGCAAACCTCACCACTTTGAACCCCAAAACTCACCTTTTTTTAATTCTGAAAATTAAAAAATTAATTAAAAATAAAATAGCAACACCGGTCAACAGCGGCCGCAGGCGGCGGTGGCCGGCGGCTGGAGTATGGCGGCGGCGGTGACCGGCGACCAGCGGCGGCGGTGACCGGCGACCAGCGGCGGCGGTGACCGGCGACCAGCGGCGGCGGTGACCGGAGACCGGCTGCGGCAGGCGGTGGTCAATGCTGGAGTCAACGGTCAAAGTCTAGTCAGCACCCCTTCCTTTGATTTTATTTTTTCAAAAAAAATTCAAAGTATTGAAAAAAATATGGTGAGCTTTGCCTTACAGTTTGGTGAGCTTTGTAGTTGTGCTTAGTGAGCTTTGCATTGGGCAGTGGTGAGCTTTGCGTCATCTGACCGAAACATGTCATCGCACCATAAGGTGTCATCTCACTTGGTTCCCATGACATTGGATGGCCCGAGGGTGCTCCGGTGTCCCGTTCGTAAAACTGACGGTTCCTACCCCTAATCCCCCGGTAAATCTTCCACCACGATCCGAACACACTCCTTCACCCCTTCAATTGCACTCTCAAGTTAATTTTGACTTTCGAGTCAAAATTTGACTCCAAAGTCAAAATTAATTTGGGGTGTGCAATTGAAGGGGGTGGGTTCGAGTCGGGGCGGGCTGAGGGGATTTATCTGGGAGGATAGGAACCATCACTTTTTCAAACGGAGCACCGGAACACCCTTGGTCATCTAATGACATTGGTTTCCAATGTGATGGGAACCGGCATCATTTATACATACATACATACATACATACATACATACATACATACATACATACATACATACATACATACATATAATATATATATACACACACACACACATACAGTGTCACAAGACTACTGTTAGATATATACTCCCTCCGTCCTCAATTTGATTACAAATTGTGGGTTACGGAGTAAAATTTTCTGCTTTTTGAAATCATTTTATTTGCAAATTGGTATATCAATAAGATATAAAAATTACATATTAAAAAACTACGTCAAAAGTTCTACAAAACAAGAGGTGACAAGAATATTTTATTTTATCAAATACTTAATGAAATCGCGTAAACAAACAAAAGTTATCAAGAGGTGAGAAAAAAAAATTGTAATCTATTTACGGACGGAGGGAGTATGATAGGATTCAGAATTGTCCCTTTGAGTTGCCTTTTTCGCCCACTACTCGTGCCGATGAATATATACACCTGCCCCCCACCCCAACAATATTAAAATATACTCCGGGGTATATTATTATTGTTATGGAGTATTATTTTTAAAAAGTGAAAAGAGAGAGAGAAAAAAAACAGGCTATATACGTTGCATGGGGAGCGTATTCGAACCCACCATCTCCCACTACGTATTTCCAACTTTTAGTACATATAAAGTAAAACATAATGACTTTTTAATATATGATCATATGTTTTTATTTTTTAATGTAGAATCATTGGTCATTGTTCATTAGTTAATAATCAACTAAATATTCACTATTATTGGACATTATTTCACTCACTAGACATTATTAAATCATATTTAGAAAATAAAAAAGTTTATGTCATACATAGAGAAATGACTTATATTTTAATTCTATTTAACACAAATTTTTCTTACTTATATGTGCATCTTAATTAATGGGAGGGAGAAAATATTTGTTAGTGGGTTAGTTGAGTATGTAATGGGAACATCACTCCCAAGAGGTTATGCATAAATGTCTAATCCTCCATCCCTTCCTAAATAAACTTCCTTTTTTGACTTTTTTGGGAAATTAAGGGAGAAATATTTTTAGTGTTGAGTTTCCAAAA